TTATTCTAGCAAAGAATGCTCAAAAATATAAGCACAAAATCAGAACTGTTCCTACTGTCTATCAAACCACATGTTTACCTGTTAGGAAGCTGGAGATGCATCAAACACCAGTAATGGGAATAGCTTTGGACCTCACTCAGAGGAAAGCGGTTCAGGAAAGCCTTGGGTTCCAGTAAGTGCTGCGGTCCCGAAGCTATATTTAAATGTAGGAAATGGTTTTCTCTGCTGAGTCAGTACCCCTACCAGTCAGGCCACATAAGAATCTTTGTAGCTGGAAATTTCTGCTGCCTGATTCTCTCATCTCTCCGGTAAAGGAGCGAGGCTTGTGTGATTTTGGCCATTTGACCTTTCTACGCCTCAGTTTCCTCATCTCTGAAATCCCTTGTACCTCTGACTTTCTATATTCTTATTCAGTTTCTTCCACAGAGACTCACATGATGCCATGCCTGTGGGCATACATCAGACGTTTCAGCTTAGCTGGGGTCACCTATGACAGTCAACTCTTTAAATGCTAGGTCTCAAAGTATCTCTAAGTTTTGTTTTTACAAGATGGTGGCTTCTGATGACACATTCAGGATAGAACCCAGTCAAATCAACTACAAGTTCATAGGCCTGGAGTTCCCTAAAAGAACACATTCTCTCATCCCAAGATATTTGGAAATTAAAGTTAGCTGTAAGATGAAGTAGAGAGAAGCATCTCTTTTACCCAAGGGGTTCCAAACATGTCCTGGCAGCTGCAGAACTGGCTTGGCTTCTTCGAAACTCTCTGGGACAAGTAGAAAGGGGGAATAAAATTCTACTATAGTTTTAGGCTGCATTTCACGAACACTGATCTAGTCCAGTCCTACTCACTCCCGGAGGTACACGGTGGAATCAACGTGTTTCCATCAGACTGTTCACTGTCACTGAAATTTTAGGGCTTCCTGATATTTCTCACCTAAGAGCCATCTGGCCTATTAATTAATGCATTACTTAAAAGCATGTAATTAAAGTTGCCACCTGATTTATTTTTACAGGAGATATGTAAAATATTATCTTTGATCTATAAGAAAGGAAACCAACATGTGTACAAGTTGAGGAAATTACTAGATACAAACTAAACACCAGACACAGGTTCATGTGGTCTTCGAAGTACGTCGTCTGACATCTGGGCTTCAGTGCCTTGCTGCTGTTGGACTGAAAAGGGAAAGCTACTGCCAGAAAAACGTAACTACCTTTTTGAGTTCCAATTCTCTGAGTTGAATTTTCCACTATCTGAGCTAATATGATTTTGGTTAAATGTAGCAAAGTGTCTGTTGCATTCTCTGGAACCTTTCAAGTCCTGGCAAGGTTCTTCTATCATGACATATTGTCAGACCTGATAAAGCCACATAACTGTAGGGAGAGAATTCAGGGGTATCCATTTTGGCCTCACCTTTCAGTGTTTAGTGTTTTGGAGGGCTCTCTGCCATCTCGGGCGACAGGTCATGGCTGTCAGTACTCTAGAACAAGATGGCCAAACTGTATTCAGAAAGCCAAATACTAATAGCGAGAACTTCTGTGCTGTGTGTATCATTCCATTTTGTCTTACCTTTAGCACAAGAAAAGGCCAAATCATCCAGGATGGTGTACAGCGGTGTCTGCAAAACCCAGCAGGTTTTCTCTCTGCTCAGCCAGAAGGCAGGTCCCACTGCCAGCACCCCTATGTTCTACGCAACCCCACGTCCATGTCTGGACAAGGGTGCGGCTGACTGCGGAGCTGAAAGGGAACTGGAAAGCAACTGAGGACGTGAGGCCTGTGCTATTTCAGTGGAAATTTTGAGGTCACAAAGCAGACATGTCTCAGCACATAAACTTGCATATGTTGAGAGATATGCCCCCCTTCTCCCTTGAGCCTTAGAGCTGCTCAATAAGACAGACTTGGTACACACCCAATTTACAACTGAGGAAATGTAAATTCAGAGAGATTAAGTGATCTCTCTGGCCTAAGATCAGACATTACTAAATGCCGGGAATGAAACTTAAACCCCATTCCTTTGGCTCTAAATTTATTATGCTCATCTATATGCCTCATGCTTATGACCATCAATTTCTAAAGTCCTTTTCCTCCTCTCTAGTTCAATCACACTCTCCCATAGGGCAGGAAGGATGTCCCAATGCAAAGCTATTTAAACTACTTCCTTCCTCCCATAATGTCTTAGCATAAAATCAGTTTGTTCAAATATGTATTGACCACTTATACTAGGTGCTCAGGAAAAGCAAACAAGCAAGCAAACAGGTTAAAAAAATCTCTGCCTTCATGAAGCTTACAATCTAATGAAAGGAGACATATAATAAGCAAAATAAACAAGTAAAACATATTGCATGCTAGATGGTGATGGGTTCAGTGGAGGAAAATGAAGCAGGAGAGAGAGTGATAGGGAGTGTTTCCTGGGGACAGAGCTTATGTGGCTATCTACAAGAACTTTCCAGGCCGAGAGAAGTGTCAGTCCTGTGTTGAAAGGTCCTGTGTTGAAAGCATGTCTAAATGTTGGTGAAATAACAAGGAGGCTAATGTGGCTGGCAGAGTAAGGAGCAGTAAGAGATGATTTCAGAGAGTATCAGGGAGCCTAGCCATGTCGGAGCCTAAGAGACCATGTAAAGACTTTGGCTTCTACTTTAAGTAACACAGGAAACTCTTGGAAATTTTGTACAGAAGAATGACATGATTTGTCTTGGCTTATAGTTTAAGACAGTTATAAGAATAGGTTAAAGGGGGAGAAGGCAGAAGCAGGGAGATTAATTAGAAAACTATGGCAACAACATAGGGCAAAGATTGGGAGTAGGAGTTGTTTTTTGAGTACATTCATAGAGCAAATAGGATATACTGACAAGTAGGATGTGGGATGAATCACACACAGTCTGAATGGAGGGGTCAGAGAGCACTGGACAGGAAGCCTGGGTTTTTGAGTTGGAATTTTAGCCCCATTTCTCATTCACAGTGTTATCCGAGGAAAGTCACTGAAAAGCCTCATGTTTCACACCTACAAAAATTGGCTTACATAGCTTCCCGACCTCACAAGGCTCAAATGAATATGATGCTGGAACAAAAGTTGGCTTGTTTAGAACTAAGTTGTAGCTCTAGCTAGCTCTGTGTAACTTTGCACACATTCAATGCCCTGAACGACTGTGGCCTGGAGACTAAGGTCAACTCTGGAATGTTTTGAGAACAAATATTAATGAAACAAAACAAAAATAAACCAGCATTACACTTGTGAGGAATTAATTAAGGAAGCTTTATTTTTAAAAAGTAAAATCTCTTTCTTGATGGTCTAAGAATGAGAAGAGGAAAAAGGTTGATCTAAGTAAACTGTTTTAACCAAAGACTTACGAAACCCTAATCGTAACATGGATTTTGTGCTCTTTGAGCCTGTGTTTATGAAATGTTACTTAGCTGGTGATTAACAAATTGCTACCCTCACCCTCTTCCAAATCCTCACCTTCAGTTTTAGTTTTACTTAAACATAAAAGGCTTTTTTTCATCTTCTTTTTCTTTTTTCCTTTCCCGTGTCTCTGAACAGGCTTACCACCACCCTGGAATTTTTCTAAATTTTTACTAATGAGAATTATGTGATTCAGTTATTCTAAGTGACTCAAAGGTTTATAACTTTCCCAACCTGGCTTAAATATGCAAAGCCCAAGCTGCCTCTTTCCAATTCACTAATACAGAAAAAGCACTATAGGGTGAGCATGAGGGAGTTGGTGAGCCACTCCCAGGGGCCGGAGAACAGAAGTCACAGGACAAGACTTGTGCTCCACACGGATCAGATCCGCCTTCTTAGGCAGGGCTGCCGGCTCTGAGTTGCCCCTTCCTTCTCTCTCTTCATTCTATGTGACCCTCCCAAGTCTCGTCCATCAAAACCTACCTATTTTGAGTCTCTCAATATCCTGCAAGGTAACTGATAATCCATTTAATAAGCCAATTTAAATCAAATTATTAGTGATGGAGGTGGATTAGTCCTACGGCTCTCTGCACTTTAAGAGGAACTCCCATAAAGGTAATGGCCTAACTTATGTTGTGGCGGAATGGTGGAATGCTTAGGCACTGTGAAGATAACTACGTCGTGAGTTCTTCCTTTGAGAAAGACTCATGAAGTCTTCTCATAAGGTGGTCTCCTACTTTGCCTATACTTTAATGGAGCTGTCTTCAGTATTGTCCCCAAGACCATTTCAGGGGGGTTCATAAAGTTAAAATTTTTGTCACAATCACACCAATACATTTGCCCCTTTTTACTCTCATTCTCTCACAAGTGTGCTGTGGAGTTTTCCAGAAGCTACACGATGTGTGATATTGACATCGCTCTGATGGCTAATGGAATGAGTGCTGTATATTTTTGTTTTTAAAACTTAATTTCAGATATAATAAATTCAGTAGATATAATTCACTTTACAAACAAACAAACAAACAAAAAAAACTCTTTAGGGACTTCAGTAATGTTTTTAAGTGTGTTAAGGGGGTCTTGAGAGATAACATTTGAGAACTGCTTTTTTAAGTTATTCTGCCTGATCTGGCAGCTGAGATATCAGGAATACAGCATACCCAGAAGCAGGGTGGCAATTCTTACTAAATTCAAAACCATGTGAGGTAATCAGTTTGCAAGTGTTGGTATCTAAATGAAAGTTCAAAAGAGCACATATAAGGATGAGCCCCAATATTGACCAGCTCATGTCAAAAGGATACAGGCCCCAACTTGAAGGAGCTCCCACTGGCCAGGTCAGAAACACCTGATTTTTTACTTTGCGAGTGATCAGAAGTGTCAATGGCACCTTTTAGGGGGTGACAGATAGAGGGGAGGAGAGGGTTTCACATACAGAAGCAAAACACAAGAATTATAATTAATGTCCACATTTCCCACGAAAATATAATGGACCAAATATTTAGAGTTGATACTTTTAATTCTTCAGTATCTTAATACAAATATAAGAAATAATACAGAATTAAATAACATCTGAAAAAGCTTACTAAATATATAAATATTCAATTAAACAATGAAAACAACATGTTTTAATTCCTAAGTCACCAGATAGAGACAAGAAAGCAAACAATACCAATAAAGTCACTAATTTGGTCTTATGCTTATTTAAGAGTTCAAAAATTGTTCCACTAGTTAAAACAATATATTTAGAACAAAGGGAACTGTATACCCATACATGCTTCCTCTGCTGCTGCGAAAAGTGAACTCATGGGGAAAGAAGCCAGGAGAGAGACAAAGCATATGAGCTGGCTGACTTCTATTTAGGAAACCTCCTAAATACCTGTTTTCACAACATATTTTCATTATACTAGTCTGAATTCAGAATGACTAAAATAGAGCCAGGTCATATTATGCAACAAATAGACAAATAATGCATGCTTTTCAAAAAATGTGAGCTGCTGTCTAAGACTAGCAACACTTATTCTGCTATAAAAATAAGTAAATAAAGTTAAGGTGGCCAATGTTATTTCACAATGAATTCAGTCCCATTTTCACTGTGGTAAATGTCACAGAAATACATGAAGAATAGCAGTGAAACCCAGGGTTCTAAAGAGACCAGCTATCAGCAAAGCAGCAAGCGGGGAGTGGACTAGATACCAAGTAATGAGGAAACAGACGCATGGACCTAAGAACAATAGGGAAGAAGAGATGAAATATCCACAGAAAAGCAAAGGTAATCTCCGAAAAGTTCTTTGGTCCTTAACCTTCCCGGCTTCTTCGTTCTCCTTTTCACGACTTTTCCCTTTGTCTATTCCCTTTTTCCTGGAATTACATCAGTTTTTAGAGCAGAATGGCAAATTATCTGGTCCAACTCGTTAATTTTTCTGAATGCAAACATGGACGCTCACTGATTAACACAGGGTTGCCGCCAGTCTCAGCCAAAGTCAGTCTCTAAGCTGTGGTTCCTGATTCTAAGTCTGGTACCCTTTCAACAGCACAACACTGCATTTTTTTACAAAATGAAGTCCTACAACACGCCTGAGAGGTAAAATAATTTCCTCTTGGAACTTACACAAGCACTGGGTAACTTTGATGGCAGTAGAAAGTCTTGAAATTTTTAGGCCTTGTACTCCCACCTCTTTTGCTCTTTCAGGTCCCTTGGAGAATGGCCCTTTTTCTCCTGCTTTCCTCCTGCATCAGATTCAAGTAGACCATAAAATAACTTTCAGGGTTCTATGACTCTTCTAGGGCTCTGGATAAAAGAAAGATCAAGATATTAGTTTCAAACATATATATTTTCTATCCTATTAGATTCTAAGAATATAAATTGACAGAAGGGTCAATAAACAGAAAATTCTCCTTGTGCAGTTTTCATCAGCAAAGATAAGGAATTAGACATTCTTACCCAATGTCACATGAGGGGAATATGGCTCTGTTTAAAAAGATACAGATAAGTCTACAAAATAAAGGTTTGTAGAATCACTTGAGGCTACAAGTAAAAGAACATGTTCAAGGATTCCAAATGATCTATGTGTATTTTATTTATAAGATCTTGAGTGTTGTTTCCCATGGATACTAATTTGCTGGACATCAGGTTGAGAACAGTCATAAAGTAGATAAATGGAGATCCTTTCAAGGGCTATTGGCTTTCCAGCACAGAAACTGGGAGGATGTAGGCTTCCCTATAAGGTATGTAGATAGTGAAGTAAAAGACCTGGGATGTCATCTTGGTGCCATCTCGCATTTTTTCTGTAATCTTAAGTATTTCTTGCCAAAACCTGCAGAGTTCTGCATGTTTGAACCTTGCCAACATTTCCAGTGTGAGCTCTCTGTGGCAAAAGACACAGAACAGCTCAGGCAAGAACCCCTAGGCTTCAGGGTCTGTTAGTGACTTTGATAAGATTATATCATGACATTTTTTATATAATGGGTGGCATTTGCACTCATTCAAGAATAAAATTTTGTAGAAAAATAGTCTTAGAATGCAAGATTTATGCCAGCAATTCTAACCTAGATGTTCCAATAAAGATTGCTTAACCCTTTTCTCATGCAAAGCATTTTGTTTCTTCTTCTTGGAACTATGAGGAAATTGGGACAGAGATGAGGATTACCACTCATCCAGCCTTCATCTGGAAAGCATAAGTACAATTATTTAGCAAAGCAAAGACTCTTATTTTTTTGGAAACAAATATTCTTTGTATTGTCCTTCCAACTAAGCACCTATTTCACCATTACAAATTGTTTATTGATCATCTCTGTTATTTGACATAGTACTAAGCTTAAAATAAGAGATAATAACATAATCCCACCTAGGGTATAGTGTTTTCCTAACATTGCCATGTTATCATTGCAAAGAGCCTATTTATAGGTACGGTGATTGTGAAGCTAGGTGAAAGAAATCAGGTAATTATATGGATAATATGGGTGAAAAAAACCCACTTCTACACGAAATAGCTAAGTTCTTAAAAAAAAAGTTAGGTTTGGACATGCATTTCACATGATTGTCTATATTTTCTATTTTTTCCAATTCAGCCTTGACTCAATCAAACAGAAAACTGCTGCTTAAAAAGTCTAAAACTTATGTGATTGTCTATAAGGTGGAGTTTTGGTTTCTGAGAAGCATGTAATCATTGTAGGATTGACTAATGAGAAATAAAAGATTACTCTCTACCCCAAATTTGACTTCATTATATCATATGTGGAAGGGACAAATTTATGACATCAACTGGGGTTTAATTGAAATAACAGGCAGAATAGTAGGAAATTTCCCTGGGAAATTTTAATTTTTTTCTCACTTCCTATATTAGTAATAAAGAACTGGATTCATAAAAGAAAAAAAAAAGTTCTTTGAAAACCTGTTATCCTATAATCTTGTTGTCATAGTCTCATGAGAAGTTAACTGTGATGATCCCATCCGGAATGTTGGAAAGTGAAATTGCCTCAAACTCATCACACCTTCCTCCAGAGTGCAGCTTTACAGTTGAAGAAAACAACATCATACTCTAGCATTATACAGAATCACAAGAAAAATAAAGGGAGTCTAACTTCTCTATAAAAATAACAGCAATTATTAGAGGTTATCTCTCTGTCCCAAAACTATCAATTTTCTTATGCTTTTGTGAGCAATCTGTACGAGGTTTCGATGGAAAATAAACTTCTATTTTTTTTTTGTCATTTATCTTACAAAGAATTGAATCCTAACTTCACAGACTTTCCTCACTTACTAAATGTGTCTTCCTACTGGGCAGATCCAGGGAGATGATTGTCTGTTCATATTCAATATGTTCAACAACTAACTCATCCCTCCTTTTTCTTTCCCTACAAACTCTGAACACACATGCGCGCACACACACACACACACACACACACACACACGCACGCACATGCACACACACATTTCCCCCTCTCCTCTTCCTTATTTGTTTACTTCATTTTTCAGGTCACCAGGTCAAGAATCTTGGTGACATTTTCCCTGCCCATCCAAGTTTTATGTTCTCAGAAGATGATGGAAAGAAAGAGGAAAAAGGCAAAGGTAAGAAAAGATGAAAAGCAACGGTAGTCGGACTATTCATTTTTATCACAAATTGAAAATCAGAATTTGTTACTTGAAGAAATAAAAGATGTCACTATCTTTTATGATTATCTTCCCTTTCTTCCAACTTTGTGCAACTTAAAATTTGGTCCTAAACAAGTTTTCTTCAGCCTTAAGGACTTAGGTCTTCAGCATAATCAACACTTGGTTTAACTAGCTTTATAAGTATGTGGGATCTGGCTGTTAAAAACAATTTATTTTTCATTCTTTAAAATATTTTTTAAAACCAGCCAAAAATTCCAGTCACTCAAAATATGCCACTGAACATTCATTGTAATTAATAGAGCAGGTCTGATGTCATGAAGACATCATTAGTAAATGGGAACTTAGTGCTTACAAAATTCCATACAGGTTCGGTTGTTTACAATAATCCCCCCTTAGTCATGGTTTCACTTTCCACAGTTTCGGTTACCAGTTATTAACTGCTGTATGAAAATATAACATGAAAAACTGCAGAAATAAATGATTCATAAATTTTAAATTTTGTACTGTTCGGGGTAGCATGATGAAATCTCGCACCCTTCTACTCCGACCCACCTAGATGTGAATCATCCCTCTGCCCAGCAATCCACTCTGTGTATCCTCTCTGCCATTTAGTCACTTAGTAGCCATCTATCTAGGTTATGAGATCAACTGTAGCACTTTGTGCAGTGCTTGTGTTCAAGCAATGCTTATTTTACTTAGTAACGTCACATCGCATAACTTTATTACAGTGTATTGTTATTGTTCTGTTTTATTGTTAGATATTGTTGTTAATCTCATGCTGTGCCTATTTATAAAGTAAACTTTATCATAGGTATGTATGCAATAGAAAAAACACAGAATATATAGAGTTCTGTGCTACGCGTGGTTCCAGCATCCTCTGGGGGTCTTGGAACATATCCCCCTCAGATAAGGGGAGTCTACTGTGTTTTATAAATGAGGAAAAGCATGGGTACAGTGATAAGCTGACTCTCTTTGTTTCAGAAACTGGATAAAGCATTGAACAATTATATTTCCCAGAAAATCCAAGACTTACTTAATGAACAAAGGAGAATTCTTTGCAAATTCCTCTTTCTAGTGGAATTTATCTTGTGCTTGAATAGACTGTATTATGATTTTTGTCCAAAAGGGACTTTTAAAAATGAATTTGAACACTTCATACTTTTCTATTTAAACTTTCCCAAAAAATTCAGCAGTAACAGCAAAGCACAGGCTAAAAGAAGTGCAACTGATAACAAGAATGCCTTTCAAGTCAGGACTCCAGGGCCTCATGACTGGAAGAACATTCTAGCAGAGGTCAGGAGACCAAAGTAGTCACAAGCCTGCTGCTGTTAACTAGCTGTGTGACCTTAAAGAAGGAGGTCAGCTTTCCCCTCTGGGCTTCAGCTCCCAACTGGACAACTGAAATGTTTGGAGAAAGTAGAATCGGCCTTCTGTTTCTGACATTCTATAAGATGCTAATGAGGTCCATGGGCTTACATTTATGATCAATAAGCTCAGCTAACCTGCAATCTCCTCTCCCTGACAGAACAAATACCTTTTTTGCAAAGAGGTAATTGACATTGAAGATTTGTCACTTTTCTTATAAAATCACAAAAATTAATCTGGTATTTACATAAGCTTATGCAAAATTAAGTGTTCAAAAAACCTAAAACATGAAAGATATTCGTCTATGAGAAATAAGAGAAAAAGGAAAAAGAGGTTGCATTTGAGTGAGATTTTGAACAGATATTTAAAATAGCACTCAAAGCCAACATTTTTTTCTTTCTTCCCTATCCTTAAGTCATCTGAGACCACAAAAATTCCCGTATCACCCCTTCACCCTAGGAAATTCCCATCACACATAATATAAATAGCAGTTTTGCATTAGTTGTAGTAAATTACGCCCGTTTTCAGAAACCAAAGATATTTACTTCTCTCTCTCTAGCTGACTCTTCTTGTTCTATAGTGTCTCTTGTTTTCTAATGTCTCACAATATTTTAGACTCAGCATTTATGAGGTACTGAATTTACAGTAAGAAAAGGGATTGAAAAAAATCACTTTGAAAATCTACCCTTCTATTCATTCATTCACTCATTCATTATTTCAATGAATGTTTATTGAGTACTTGGTCTACATAATACACTGTGATAGATCAGAGGGTAGAGAGAAATTTATGATCTATAAGGGCAGGATGACATGACACCGTTATTATAAGTATGGATCACCTGTATGTTGTTTATAGTGTTGAGAAATAGTAAGAGTATAACACAGAAAGTACTACGTAATTATTGATCATATTGAACAATTTCACAACCTTTTAAATGGAATAGCTGGCGTGTGGAATGCTGTAAAAAGAGAAGAGATTGTCCCTCTTATTAACCTGTAGAATGGACACAGCATGGGTGCTGATACTTCTTTCTCTGGTTTTGTCATCAGATGTTGCCATAGTCATCACATAAACATTTTCAACATTTCCTCTCATCAACCTTCATTCTCAGTTTACAAAATAATTAGCCTTTAAGCAATCTCAGCAAGTGAAAAGCAGGAATGTCCAGTTTAAATGTCCAATGGCAAGAAGATGCTGCTGCAGTGTTTTAAAACACCGTCAACATTTATGTATTTTGGAAACAACAAACAAAACACACTGTTGCCATCCCATTATTTAATTTTCACGCAACTTCCAAATTTTCATTAAAAAATCATTTGTTTCCTTCTTTGTACTTTTGGGGATGACTCACCTCGGTCTTGGGTCCGATGACGTTTCCAGTACAGTAAGATTGAGATTAAGATCAGAAGAATCACCAGGGAAACAATACTTAACAATAGTGGGACTGAAAACCAAACGCCTATAAATATTGAAGGGAGAAAGAGGAAAAACAAGGTCATCAAAGTAAGTTGTGGAGGAAAAAAGGATAAAGCAATAGTTGTGATGAATTTTCACTAGAAAACTATTTCAGTGAAAACTATTCTTAAATATACATATTGAGGCCTACATTTGTGACATATTATTTTAATAACATTTAGATAATAATGATAGTTAACATGTCTTATGTGGTTACTACGTAATAAAAGCTTTGAATGTGTTATCTCATTTAATCTTCAAAACAACCCAAGAGTTAGTTATTATTATTATTATCTAACAGATTAAAACAAAACCAAAAACTGAGGTTCAGAGAAGCTAAGTAAACCCAAAATCAGCATAGTAAGTGGTAGAATGAAGGCTTGTGTAGAGGTTTCTTTGCCTCCAAATCATATATTCTTTGCCTTACTATCTATTAAAGTAATATCTTTATTGAGGGAATTTTGGAAAATACAGAGATATACAAAGAAAAAAAACATTATAAATGATATGTCAATTTCAGCATTCATAGAAAAGGAGACATGTTCCTTTTCAGGTTTGTGTTTTTCAGAAAAATTTACCCTTTGCCTTGGCCAAATCTAAGGTTCATTGCAAAAAATGTCCAAATCTAACACTGCAAGCCTTTTGACAAAATTTACCTAAATGTCAACCTTTTGATTAGTCTGTGTTTTCAAGGACCCCGGGAGATGTTCCTGAGAGGCTACTGCACCAATGAGGCACGCACGGGAAAGTTTTTCCAGGTTTTATTGTTCAAAATACCACCCCTCGCCCCTCAAAAAAAGCAGCAATATCTTTCTAGAAGGCTTATTACTGAGTGCCTCGTCCAGAGTTAGTGCTTCAAGACTAAATAAAGAAAGAATACTGTTATCACTGCTTCCTTTACTCTCTCACCCATAGCCCTTACCTCTTGTATCCATGAGGCCTGGAGATAGCAGTTTAGATAGAAACACAAGAAATTAAAAGGGGTCTTGAACAGCAGGCAGTTTGTTTTAAAAGCATTGAGGAAAACACTCACACTGGTCCCTTTCCCACATTGTAGATTATGCAAAGGTTTCATCACAGATGTCACTTCTTCCAGGATATCTTCCTAATCTTCCCAAATTGAGCTGATGCCTCTCATTACCCCTGCAGTCCTCCCATGGTGCACCATAGCTTTCTCACTGAAGTGTTTAACATGCAGTTTTACAACAGCCCAGCCACTTTCGTATTTCCTGGTAGACTAGGGACTAAGTCTTGCTCACTGTCACATTTCACTGTCGCAAAGCCTAGCACACAGCAGACACTCAGTAAGTGTTAGTAGCATGGAAGAATAATGAATAGATGGTCAGCAAAAGCATTTGATATGTGAGCATCGTACCACATTTAGCAAAGTAAAATTTGCTTTATTGGCTTCCTTAACTCTGTTTTTCTTTCCCTACTTACTCCATTCTCTCCTCTGTTAGCTGCTCTGCTAAGAGGCCAAGAGGCTCTGCAGAGTATTCACTACCTTTCACGTATATATACACAGTTGCAACCACAGACATCTTTGCCCACCCTCTCTTACCTTTGTTCACAGTTTGCCTGAAGTTGGTCACAGTCCCCAGGTGCAGCACCTGGCAGATCACCTCCTTTCCCACCTGACTCTTGGGGTCTTTGACATGGAGGACACTGATGACAGATGTGGTCCCATTGGGGTGTGAGAGAATCTCTGTACTGTTGTCCATTCCTGATCCAGAAACCTTCCAGGAGATCGCAGGTGCTGGGCGGGCGTTGGCAGAGCAAGTGATATTTAGGTGGTCTTCAAAGAATTTATAGTGGAGGAATACTGTGGGCTGTACTGGGACAAAAAAAAATGAAGGTCTGCCATCAGTTAAGCACCTGGTCAAGTCCCACACTGTCCTCAGAGAGATGACAGAATGATTTCTACAGAAAGATAGTGGAGGCTATAAAGATAAGGTAGCACATCTAATCCCAACCGAGGCCTTCTCGTTTCTTCCTATGTCTAAGTCTCTGACCCACAGGATGAGGAATGGCTTTGTACAACCCTGTGACAAGAAAAAATCCTCTCTGTAGTTGCCTCTAAGAGAATTAGCTGGATGGACAGTTACCCCTTATTCCTTCTACTTAATTCTTGATCTCAGCTGTTTTAGGAGGAAAGGAATCCTGTCAAACTAAGCCTCTTGGATGTTTGTTTTTCTTTTAATGATCATTATCCAGTTAAATCCCCAGTTGATGTCAAGTATGAAGAGCCTCTGCTGCATGTCCCCTTATCAATCCTGAGGGGGCCACACTGAAACAAAATGACAGGGACCACCATAACTGGCTCCAGGTCAGCCCAACCTGACTCTATCCTTAGATCCAAAAATATTAAAGCTATTAGAGAACCCACAGATGATCTATTTCACACTTATTGTGCAGATAAACTAACTCTAGTGCACAGTGGACAGAACTCATCTAAGGTCACATGACTAATAATGGTAAAGCCAGGTCTGAATCATATCACTGCTCCTGGAGAACTTGTCTTAACTTACTCCTGCTGGTGACAAGGTTCCTCAGAACAAAAATAATTCCAGGCAGAGACTCAATGTAGCCCAATGTAGACTCAGTGAACTTTCCAACAACCATAACCACAATTACCATAGACATGAAAGGGTAAGTGTCTTCTCATAAACCTTTCTGGGGTTAGGATCCTAACAAATTAGGTTCTACGACTGTGTCCCACGCATTCTTGAAAATAACATTTCTAGTCAGAGCTAATGTATTCTCAGAGACTCTCACCAAAGAGAGTGAGGCAGGCTATTCCTGAGACCTTCCCGGAACCAAAGGTATTGAAGAGGCACTTATAACACCCCTCATCCTCCAGGGTGGTGTTCCAGAAGGTAATGGTTGAGTTCTGGAGTCCCAGCTCAGTGATGTTGATCTTGTCCTTATAGGCAGCCTGGACCACAACCCCATGGGTCTTGCTGAAGGTCACCATGTTTTCTGGGCTTGCAGCCTTGATTTTCTGCCATGTCACAACCAAGACTTCCTGGGAAGTTTCCAGAGAGCATCGTAAGGAAGCAGGTGTGTTCAGCAGCTTTTTTTCATCTTGGGTCACCACTTTCATCATGGAATCATAAAAAACATATTTTAAAAATTAATACATACACAAATACACATTTTTAAATTAAAACTATGCATGTTCCAAGTAAAATACAGAAAATACAGAGAAAAATTCAAAGAAGACAACATTTACTTACATTCCTGATGTTGCTAGAGAAATATAAGTTCAAATATACTCTTTTTCATCTTTAAGAGTAGCAGAATAGAAAAACATGAAGGCAAATTCTCAGGGACAAGAAACTGTGTGAAGAATCCCTATAAAATGGAAAGTAGGTGGAATGAGATTGAAAGTGGAAATTGCCAGAAAAGATTTACCAAGTGTGTTTATGCCAGGAGAGGTAGAAGCCAGGAGCAGGAAATGGACAACAGACAACAGGCAGAGTGATTAGTTTAAGTGAAGCGGATGTGACAGACAGCTCTATACATTCCACACACACACTACAATGGAAGGGCAGCAATAGTGGTGTCTGCCTCCAGGAAGTAGTGGTGAATACAGCAACATATGGTAGAGAGATATGTATATATGACGATACTCCAGCAGAGAGTATTGTAGCAGAGAGCTTTGACAACCAAATGGAAAACTACACATTCCCTATTTTTATTGAATGCAGTGCAGAATATAAAGCATGGCAATAATTTCTTCCACCTCTAATGCTGGCTACTCATGTTGATATGATAGATTATTCAATGGAAAATTTCAATATAATAACAAATAGCCAAACATTTGAAAATGCTAACACAATGAAAGAGGAATAATAAACTTTACAAATTCAAGATTTCATACCAAAGAAAGATATCATAAACCAATAAAAAACACTTAGACAAGAATAGATGTGACATCTTAAGTGTAAAAAGAAACCAGCATTGTAAATAGTGTAAATTAGTGATGTGGACTAAAACGGGGCTACATACTAAACCTGACAAGCTCAGGGGAGGCTTACATACTCAGAGCCTGAAATGAAGTACATTGGATGGTCTGAACATAAAAATTCCTAACCACATCGAGACTGGTCTATAGCTTCCTTAACAAAGGTCAGTCTTTACCATAAGTGAGCCTGTCTGTGGCCTTTTTGCATCTGAGATAACATACCCTTGTAATGTCAGAGTAATTCCTTTGGCTAGACCCCTCAGGGCACAACCCGCCATACCAGAGCAAGAGATTGCAGAATCCCTCAAGTTATTCTTATCCTCTGATTACCATTTGTATGTGCCGTAAAATGCTAACTATTAACTATCCTGTACCCACCAATGTAAAAGGAGTATCTACCTTTCCAATTTACTTTTTATAATCCCAGAAATTCCTCATCCCCAAAAGTTGTATTCATTCATACTCCCTCAGTCATTGTCATATCTTTACAAACAGATAATTATTGTTTTAAAAGTTATTCAATTTGATAGGTAAAAAAAAAATCTTTATTTAGAATTTTTTCATGTCTGGTTTTGAAAACAAAACTGTGGGAAGTGGAAAGAACCGCTTTCACTCCTTCAAGTGAATTATAGGTTTAAACAATTCATGCAGACAAATGAACCAGCACAGCACAAACAACAGTGGCCAAATATCTTCACTCCAGAAATCATGTTTCCTGGACTCCAAGCAGGGGAACTGAGTATCTTTACCTTGCGCCCTGCATAGCGTCACTGCAGCCAAGAACCAAATCAGTCTGTAGGTAGAGAGATGACAGAAGAACCTCCCGAACACCTGAAGACAGAGAGCACAGTACAAAAATGGATGTTCGGATGTGGACAAAGCCAAGGAAGCTTCCATCACATTGCTATCTCAAGGAATGCTGCATCTAACGTTTTCACCAACAGAGAACTTTGGTTTTCTGGAAGTAGGACCAGATACTATAAATGGAAGAAATAACAGAGTCTGCTCAGGATATGGGAAGGAAAAACAGTAGTGTGGCTCCTTCATCATGGCAACCCTTAGCAATTTGAGGTCTTGCTTCTAAAGCCACCATGGTCAAGAGCAAGGTCTCAAAGACATCGTCTCTCTGGGGAAAACAAACTGCCATTAATATACACAGAAAACACAGAGACTACAAATGTTAGAGAGCACCCATTTCCAAAATAATCCACATCTGTTAATATTAAATATTAATTCAGGGGTAACCGCTTGTTAGAAACAGGTCACTGTCTTGCAGTTTGCTGAGGTAGATTTTCCTGCAAATTCTGCAAAATTTATATAAATTGTACTTTTTAAAAACCAGTGATGGCTTTATTTATTTATTTTTTCTTCATTGCTTTAATTTCACGTGTCTGGGCAGAAATCCTTGGCCTTGTTACAAATCATGTTGGTATTTAAGGAAATGTTATTCTAGGTATCATTTTGCTATAAAATGAAAGGGTGGAATGTAGACAGTCTCATTTCTCTGTGCAGTAGCCCCATGGGTCCAATCACTTGGTCCACATGTGTGTGTTCATTGTAAGGGGTACAGGCAAGAAATGTAACCTTTCCCTACATTTGTTGTATAGTTCTAGATTTTCTATAATACAAGTGTGTAAGAAATGTGTATTTCTCTGTATTTTTCTTTAACTGAACTTCATTTTTATTTCATGTTGCCATTCCAGCTAGAGGTAGAAACTTAGTTTCGGTCAATATCTCATTATCTTTGTCAATTTAGCCTCCTGCCACCCCAACACTTCACGATTGTCTCAATCTCTGGCATTGCATCTACATTCCTGGGGGTTTACATAGTAATACCAAGCCACGGAACGGGGCTACTAACCCTTAGTTACAAGCATCTACCCATGCTGGCATTCCCTAAGGCTGCTGTTTTCCCTCAAGTTATCAGGGTCATCGGCCTCTGCAATTAAATCTTGTGCTTACAAGGTATTCTCTCTCATTCTTGCATTCTCCCTGATTCCACACTCCTGGATTCTTCCTGTTCTGGGCAAAGGGAAATTCTACAAGGCTCTCTGTCTACACTCTCATGTATCTATCCATTTCTGTTTTACTATTCCCTTGCCATGACTGGTAGGCTGGCCTCTCCCACAGTCTCCTCCTTCCCCATAGGAAAGCAAGACACAAGTGCTGTCTGTTTCTGAATTTTAATACCATCTATAAGTTCTATTTACCATTCTCCTGAACTCCCCACTCCTAAGGGAAGGGCACAGGGCTTCCTTTCCAGGACACAAATTCTTGTCTGAGTATAGACATTAGTCAGTCCCTCTCTGCTTTCCCAGACTAGGAAATACTTATTTCTCTTAGAATCAGAAAAGCTGTTTCTTCCGTCACCCTCCATTCTTCTCATCGACTGTTTCTGGAATGAATGTATATCCTTTATCTTTCAGCATTTAGGCTTTTTAAAACTCAAACACTTAGGCATTTGCTATTTTAGAATTCTGGCTCCTGAAACTAAAAAGCCTGACATTTCAATTCAGCACTGTTATTTTGCAACCATCATGCATCTCTCTCACCTGGAAATCCAAGTTTTATCAAAGGCTGAGATGAAGAATACTGAAAATCTGTGTTTTAAGATCAGAGAGAACGCAGGCACACACCAAAACTCAAGACATGTGTAGTGGGAGCCAGCAGTGTTTCAGACACAAAGATATGGTAATTGAGGCAAAGGGAACTAGAAGGAAAGCCTTGCTATTAAATATATATTAATACATATTTACTCTGGCTGACTTGAGTTGGAGCTAGTAGAAATACTAGATGTGTGAGCTAAGACAATTGCTTTTACCTCTCTAAAGTGCAGGGGAAATAATAGTACCGACTTCTGTTAAAAAGATTAATGAGGAGAGGTTCCAAGATGGCGGAGTAGATAAATGCTATAATTGCTTTCTCCCAAGACCACAAATAAAATTACAACTAAATTATAGAACAATCTACCTGGAGAACCATCTGAAGTCTAGCTGAACAGAAGTTTTATAACTAAGGATATAAAGAAGAAGGCATATTGAGACTAGTAGGAGTGGTGGAGATGTGGAACATGTGGCTCCACACTTGCCTGTGAAGGTTGAGAATCAAGAAATATATCCTGGTCATGTAGGTCTCACCTGGATGAATGAGGGACCACAGCCCCACACCAAGCTCCCCAGCCCCAAGTACCAGGGCCAGAAACAGGAACCCCCCAGAACATCTGACTGTGAAAAACAATGAGGATTCTGACCATCCAGGTGGGATGAAAAACTGCAGGAAACAGAAACATCCTCTTAAAGGGCCCACACACAAACTCACTCAACTGCAGGCACTCACCCTGGGCTCCAGCGCAGGATCAGTGGCCTGGGAGGCATCAGAGACATACAGAAAGAGACTGAGTTGTGTGGCTTTACGGCAAGGACTGGAGGGACAATCACCATCTTCCCTGTGTAGAATTCTCCCATGCACCTGGTAGACGGGTGCCTTCTTTGCTGTGTTGAGCCAGCCCCACACAGCCAAATCTGAATCTGCATTGTCCTGGTGAACTGCAGTCACTCAACCCACTTGCTCCACACTGGTGGCTCCCTGGAACCCTGCCCCACACAACTTGCACAATGCCAAAGGCATTTTCTTGTCCAGCAGGCAGCCCTACCCGCATTGCATTCTTTCTTAGACAACTCTCCAGGATCCCCAGGGCCCAAACTGGCAGCAGCTGGCCTCGGAGTAATCTGAGACTATTGCTGAGTAGCTCAAGGCTCAACACTAGCACCAAACCACAAGCTACATTAACATGGTGACCATTCATCCCACCTTGATGACCCCCTGAAGCCCTGTCTCATCTAACTCATATACCACTTGAGGCTCTATCAGTGGCTAAGCCTTATAGGAGGTAGCAGGCAGCAGCAAGCCTCAAGGTGTCCTGGGATTTTTGCAGAGCTACCCCAGGCCGGGTACTGATGGCAGCCATTCTCAGTTTGCAGCATGGCCTCTTTCACGTGCCACCAGGTCCAGCTCAGGAAGTGACCAACTATGGATCATTTGTAGCTTATATCAGGTAGCTGCCAGCCAATCACAGGCAGTGGTTGACCTGTGCGTGCACCAGAGCCCCTCCCAAGAGGTCCCAGAACCAACGTACCTGGAGCTTGGTTTCAAATTACAGCAGAGAATCACCCAATTAGCCCCACAAGTGGCACACCCAAAGGGCAGTCTTAGCAGGCAAGAAAGCCTACTGGGGACAATCCTGATCCATGGGGTAAGCCCTCCGCACAGCAGCTGAAAGCTGTGGATGTGGCCAAACCCCATAGTCAGTCAAACTAAGGATCAATCCCATGCACTGGTGTACCAACAGCAATCAAAGCTCAACTACAACAGGTGGGCACACAACCCACACAAGGGACACGCTTGGAGCAACTAGTGCAGGTGACCAGGGAAACTGTGACACTGGGTTCCACTAGGCACCTACTATATAAGGCTAACCGGCCAAGACTGGGAGACATAGCAGATCTATGTAATACATAGAAACTAACAGAGAGGCAGCAAAAATGGGGAAACAAAAAAATATGTCCAAATAAAAGAACAGGAGAAAACTCCAGAAAAAAACCCTAAACAAAATGGAGGAAATCAACCTACCAGATACAGTTCAAAACAATGGTTATAAGGAGGTTCAAGGAACTTAATGAGAACTTCAGCAATGAGATAGTAAGCATAAAGGACATAGAAACCATAAAAAAAGAAGTCAGAAATGAAGACTACAATAACTGAAATGAGGAATCCATTAGAAGGAATCACCAGTAGACTAGACGAAGCAGAGGATTAAATCAGCAATTTGGAAGACAAGGTAGAAGAAAACACACAATTGAAACAACAAAAAGATAAAAAACATAAAAAAAAAGGAAGCTATTTTAAGAGACTTCTGGGACAACATCAAGTGTAACAACATAAGGGAACCAGAAGGAAAAGCGAGAAACCAAAGGATTGAGAACCTAAATGAAGAAATAATGACTGTAAACTTTTCAACCTGGTGAAGGAAATAGACATACAAACCCAGAAACTGCAAAGAATCCCAAACAAGATGAACCCAAACAGGCCCACACAAGGACACATTATAATTAAAATGGCAAAAGTTAAAGACAAAGAGAAACCCTAAAAGCAGCAAGAGAAAAGCAACTAGCTAATTACAAAGGAGCTTCCATAAAATTGTCAGCTGATTTCTCAACAGAAACTTCGCAGGCCAAAAGAAGTTGGCATGAAGTGTTCAAAGTAAAGAAAAGCAAGGACTTAGAACCAAGATTACTCTACCCAGCAAGGGTTCTATGAAAAGATAATCAAAATTGATAAATCTTTAACCAGACTCATCAAGAAAAAAAGAGAGATGATCCAAATAAATAAAATCAGAAATGAAACAGAAGTGACAACTGACCCTACAGAAATACAAAAAATTATAAGAAAATACTATGACCAACTATTTGGCCAACAAATTGGACAATCTGGAAGAAATGGATAAATTCATACAAACATAAATTTTCCAAGTCTGAATCAAGAAGAAACAAAATCTGAAACTAATCTGATTACTACTAACAAAATCAAATCAGTAATCAAAAAACTCCCAACAAACAAAAGGCCTGGATGGCTCCACAGGTGAATTTTACCGAACATTCAAAGAAGAATTAACACCTATCCTTCTCAAACTATTCCAAAAAATTAAAGAGGAAGGAAAGCTCCCAAGCTCATTTTATGAGGCCACCATTATAATTCTAAAACCAGACAAAAATATTACAAAAAAAATTATAGGCTGATATTGCTGATGAACATAGATGCAAAAATCCTCAACAAAATATTACCAAGCCGAATTCAGCAATACATTAAAAGATCATACACCATGATTAAGTAGGATTTATTCCTGGAATGCAAGCCTCATTGAATATCTGCAAATCAATTAATGTGATACACCATATAAACAAACAAACAAAAAAGGATAGAAATCATATGGTCATATCAATAGATGCAGAAAAAGTGTTTAACAAAATCTAGCATCCATTTATGATGAAAACTCTCAGCAAAGTGGAAATAGAGGAACCATACCGCAACATAATAAAGGCCATATATGACAAACCCACAGCTAACATCATACTCAACAGGGAAAACTAAAAGTGGTCTCCTTAAGATCAGGTTAGGAACAAGAGAAGGATACTCACTTCACCACTTTTATAACATAGTGTTGGAAGTTCTAGCCACAACAGTCAGAATACAAAAAGAAATAAAATGCATCCAAATTGGAAAGAAAGAAGTAAACTGTCATTATTTGCAGATGACATAATGTTATATATAGAAAAGCCAAAAGATTCCACCAAAAAACTACTAGAACTGATGCATGAATTCAGTCAAGTAGCAGGATACAAAATGGGTATTCAGAAATCGGTTGCATTTTTTTATACCCATAATGAACTGTAAAAAGGAAAAATTAAGAGAACAATCCCATTTACAATTGCATAAAAAAACAAACAAACAAACAAACAAAAACCTAGGAATAAATTTAACCCAGGAGATAAAAGACCTGTACTTGGAAAATTATAAAACATTGAAGAAAGAAATTGAAGAAGATACAAATAAATAGAAGCATTTATCATACTCATGGATAGGGAGAATTAACATCATTAAAATGTCCATTATCCTTATCAATGGCATTTTTCACAGGACCAAAACAAATAATCTTAAAATTTATGTAGAACCACAAAAGACCCTGAAGAGCCACAGCATTCTTGAAAAAGAACAAAATTGGAGGTATCACACTAACTGATATCAAACTATACTACAAGGTTATAGTAGTCAAAACAGCATGGTACTGGCATAAAAACAAACTCATAGATCAATGGAACAGAATAGAGATCCCAGAATTAAACCCACGCTTATATGGTCATTTAATCTATGACAAAGAAGGCAAGCGTATAGTGTGGGGTAAGGACAGTCTATTCAATACTGGTGTTGGGAAAACTGCAAAAAAAAATGAAACTGGACCACCTTCTTACACCACATACAAGAACAAACTCAAAATGAATTAAAGACATAAATGTAACACCTGAAGCCATAACATTCCTAGAAGAAAAATAAATTAAAAAAATAAAATAAATCCAAAATTTATAAAGAACTCATACAACTCAACACCAAAAAACCCCAACAATCTAATTAAAAAATGGGAAGAGGACCCGAATTGATATTTCTCCAAAGAGGAAATACACATGCCTAGTAGACATATGAAAAGATGCTCAACATCACTAATCATCAGAGAAATGCAAATTGAAACCACAATGAGCTATCACTTTATACCTGTCAGAATGGCTGTCATCAATAAATCAACACACAACAAGTGTTGGTGAGGATGTGGAGAAAACGGAATCCTTGTGCACTGTTGGTGGGATTGGAAATTTGTGTAACCACTATGGAACAGTTTGGAGGTTCCTCAAAAAGTTAAAAATAGAACTACCTTATGGTCCAGCAATTCCATTTCTGGGTATTTATCCAAAGAAATAAAAAACACTAATTTGGAAAGATATATATATCCTGATGTTCATTGCAGTATTATTTACAATGCCAAGATATAGAAGCAACCCAAGTTCCCGTCAATAGACAATTGGATATATAGGTACATATATAGAATGGGATGTTACTCCACCATAAAAAAAAAGAATGAAATCAAACCATTTGCGACAACATAGATGGACTTAGAGGGTACTATGCTAAATGGAATAAGTCAGACTGAAAAAGACAAATATAATATGATCTCACTTATATGTGGAATCTAAAGAACAAAATAAATGAACAAAAAAAACAACCCAGAAATAGATTCATAGATACAGAGAACAAACTGATGGTTGCCAGAGGGAAGAGGTTTTGGGGATCTAGGTGAAACAAAGTGAAGGGACTAAGAAGTACAAATTGGTAGTTACAAAATAGTCATGGGGATGTAAAGTACAGCATAGAGAATATAGTCAATAATGTTGCAACAACTATGTATAGTGCCAGGTGGGTACTAGACTAATCAGGGGATCACTGGTCAATAATATAAATGTCTAACCACTATGCTGTGCACCTAAAACTAAAGTAAAATAAGATTGATGTCAACTGTAATTGAAAAACAAAACAAATAATGTAATAAAATAAAATAAAAAAAGAATAGTGACTGATACAAATCATCAATAAATAAATGTTGGTGTTCTCTCACTGGGTTACTATGAGATTTAAGCATTTAAAGCACTTAAACCAGTGCCTAAAATATAGTAAATGCTAATATGTGTTATGTAGGCAAAAAAATTGTTTATCAAATCATATATAAGGAGTACAATAAAGGTGGAAAAGTCCACCTTTACTCCTTGCCAACAGGGCCGGGCTTCACAAGGCCAGGTCTAATCTGATAGCTGCCCACCTGGCAGCTACATACATACCTCTCTCCCTGAAAATTTCTACATCCAAATCCTAATCCCACCACACATAGTCACATGGACTTGGAAACCTCTCCGGCTGTTTATTTGTAAAATCAGGTAATAATTCCTCTTTTGAAGGATAGCTGTGAAGATTAAGTGCAATTGGTACGCAGTAAACATTAGCTTGATGGCCACCATTCTCCTTTGTTAAGAAAGATATCAAAATAACTGGCTGTTAAGAAAGATATCAAAATAACTGGTCTTGCTAATAAACTATATATGAAAAAAAATTATCTTGAGACATTAGTTGTATTTGGATTTTAACTTTTTTATTTAATTGTTGTTATTTTATTAATTATACCAATGTAAAGGAAAATCCTCCTCTTCATTTCGTGTCATCTAAGCAGCTCCTGAATAAACAAAATGTCTGTCTCTCTAATATACCCTGAGTGTTAACCCTGATCTATCTGATTCTTTATGGCTTCCCCAGCAAAGGCCCTTTGGATGGAGAAAGCGGCTGGAGGATCAAGGAGGGAGCTATGTACTCTGGAGAGATGAGACCTGAATTCTGCAGCCCCACCCCAGCTGCTGATGCCAACATGGAGCCAAAACAGCACCCTCTATCCCCATGGTGCGTTTTAAAGTAGGATGTGCTTTTCCAGCTTCCAGCTGCAATCAGTCAGAGAGCCTCTCCGCCCTGCCAGCATGCTGAGAGGAATCTTAAAGGATGACAATTATCTCGCTCTCAGAGGATTACAATGATCTCAGGAAGCATCTCCAGAGCCCCCGCCTGGCAGCATCTTTTTTTCAGGCCGTTGGGACGGAGACCCAGGACGCCTGGGCACCAGCCAACAAAATCCTTTTCTAGCGTTAAGCGCTGACAGAAAAACCCAGAGGCAGACGAGTCTAGGGCAAACTGCAGCTTGGGGCACTCAGCCCGCCGCCGCCCCAGGCTATCGGAGCGACTTCTCCCACCCTGCGCCTTCCTTCCCGAGCCCGGCCCCGCTCACCAGCCTCTCCATCCTCGGTCCTGTCCGCGCGGAGTGGCCGGCTTCAGCTGGAAAGCCCAGGGGTCTCACGCAGCACCAGGCTGTGCACCTTGTGGAGCTCGGTCGAGTGAGCCGGGCCCGACACCAGCTCGGAGCAATGTTGCCCACCTCCTTTCGGCCCTGCGCATTACGCCTCCACCCCCTCTAGTCCTTCCCATCGACACACGCGCAAAGGAACCAACCCCTCCAGGTGGTTTCCAGTGTATGAGGGTAAATTATTATCTTCTCCTATTTTCATAGTATTTTCCATTTTCAATTGAGAAAATAAGCAAAACCCGACTTTTTTCATTTTTATTTTATAAATAGAGAGAAAGAAAATGGGGCGGGGAAAGGGAGACATGAATTAACTGCATTAGCACTTGGAGGAGTAACAATCTGCTCTGTTGAGCAGTAAGGTAGGAATGAAAGATTTTTGAGAAATGTTATTCAGTCTCTAGAAATGTTACTTTTCTAGAGAAAGTGAAAAATGCTGAATTTAACCAATAGACACCTTAAAAAAAACAAATGTACATTTATTTTCATCCAGAATCAAATTATATATTCAAGCAATCCTTTTTTGTTGTTTGTTTTTTCTTTACTGCGAGGAATTTCCTTCCATTTGCATTGATGATGAGGATTCTTCTAATATTAACAAGCTTCAGAGTTTGGGGCTTTAAAAAAAAAAAAGACAGATTAATGAAATGTTCAACTCCTGAAGCCTTTTCTATTTTCCTGCCGCCTCCGACAAAATGCTGGGAGACAGCTTTTGCTTAAGGATCCATGGGGATGTAAGTTCAAGCGCTATAAATAATAAAATAATGACTGATTTTTTTCAGAAAACTCAGCAACATGAAATACACGTATTGAAAAGATTATAAGATTCATGGGGTGTCAAACAGGACACATAAGAGAACGCCAACTTATAGACGTATTATAGTGAAATTAAGAATATCAAATTAAGAAAATCAAAGAGAAAATTCTAAAATCTTCAAAAATGAAGAGGCAGACAGACAAAGGAGAAAGAGTCAATGTGACATTAAATGTCACAAGGCATTGCTGTATGCAAGAAGGCCATTAGTTAATTTTCTGAAAAGTTCTTCCATGTTATTGCACATAGCTGTAGTTCATCCATTCTTACTGCTGTATACTGTCTCATTCTGTAAATACTGTATACCACATTTATGTATCTATTCTAATATTAATGGACATTTGTTTGTTTTCTAGTTTGGGTTTATTTTTAATAGTGGTGCTATAAACATTCTTATACATGGCTTTTCATAAACATATTTATACCATTCTGTTGGATTATTTTTATTTTTGCCAGATTTATCTTTTACTAATGCTTTATTTTTAATCTTTCCTTATTCTTTTTATTAATGTGTAGATGATATTTTGTAGATGCTATTGTGCTGGACCTCATTAATTTTTTAAAGTCTACTGAAAAACTTTGTCATAGATTTTATAAGCAAAATATTATTTAAAAGATAGGATTATCAAGCATACAATTCTCAGAAAGTTTATTATATCAAGACTCTCCTTGAAGACATTTTAGAAAAAAACATTCTAGAAAAAAGATAAATGAATACAGGAGGATGCCACATAGAAAGATATAGAGAAAGGATAAATAACTTATCAAAATTTACAATTGTCTTAAAAAAGCAAGGTCCCCAAAATTAAAAATAACTTAATAAATAATTAAATAATTCAAACCTACATGGAAGGGGGAAATGGGTTAGAAAATGAGATTACAAAAGGTAGGTAAGAATTATGCCAAGGTGTATATGTTTAAGAAATTGACATTAAAGGTAAATATAAGTATTGTCCTTAGTAAGTTAGGAGAAACATCAGAAGAATGAGCATAAAATATAACTCACACTGCAAAAGAATATTTAACCTAATGAAAAGCAGCATAGGAGTAAAAATGAAAACATTACTAAAATGAAATATAAAAGTTAAAAATAAAATGAAAATAAAGTCCTATTATGTCAGCAATTACAACATACACAAAAAGGTTAAACACCCAAATGACAGAGACTTGAGATACAAAAGAATGAAAAAAGAGGGGGAAAGAATCCCTGCCATCATGAAGCATGAACATTGCTTTAAATATTATTTGGAAAAGAAGAAATCACTTACATAATTTAAAACTTTGCAAAAAATGACATTTAAAATTTTTGGACAAATTTAGAAGAGCACTCCAAGCTAATGTATTATCTTAACTAAGTTTATCAGATACCAAGATTAAGCAAAAGAAGCAGTGAATTCAATGAAGTAGAGAGGCTGATATAATAAAACTAAAGATAAAAAATCACTAAAAAGGAACAAAATTAAATAACATAAAAAGACTTTTTCTAAGTGGAAAGTCACATGCAAAAGAATGAAACTAAACTGCTATCTATCACCATGTACCAAAATTAACTCAAAATGGATCAAAGACTTAAACGTAAGACCTGAAACAATAAACTTAATAGAAGAAAACATAGGTACTAAACTTATGCACCTTGGGTTCAAACAGGTTTTTATGAATTTGACCTCAAAGGCAGGGAAATTAAAAGCAAAAATAGATGAATGGGACTACATTAAACTAAACAGCTTCTGCACAGCAAAAGAAACCATCAACAAAACAAACAGGTAACCAACCAAATAGGAGAAGATATTTGCAAACACTGTCTCCTATAAGGGGCTAATATCCAAAATATATAAGGAACTCATACAACTCAACAATAAAAAGACAAATAATCCGATTAAAGAATGGGCAGAGGACATGAAAAGAAACTTCTCCCAACAAGACAAATGGCCAAAAGATATATAAAAAATGTTCAATTTCACTAGCTATTAGGGAAATGCAAATTAAAACCACAATGAGAATTCACCTCACACCAGTTACAATAGCTATCATCAACAAGACAAATAATAAAATTTTGGGGAGGGTGTGGAGAAAAAGGAACCCTCACACACTGCTGGTGGGAATGTAAATTGGTACAGCCACTATGGAAGGCAGTATGGAGATCCCTCAAAAAATTAAGAATAGAATTACCATATGACCCAGCAATCCCTCCTCTGGGTATCTACCCCAACAATCTGAAAACATGTATCCGTAAAGATATATGCACTCTGATGCACATTGCAGCATTATTTATGGTGATCAAGACATGGAAACGAAAAAGTCTCCTTCAGTTGATGATTGGATAAAGAAGGTGTGGTATATATACACAATGGAATACTACTCTGCCATAAGAAAAGATCAAATACTACCATTTGTGACAACATGGATGATCTTGAGATTATTATGCTGAGTGAAATAAGTCAGACCGAAAAAGTCGAGAACCATATGACTTCACTTATATGTGGGATATAAAACGGAAGACAATGGAACAAGGCAAACAAATAAACAAAACTCATAGACACAGACAACAGTTCAGTGGTTACCAGAGTGTAAGGGGGGAGGCAGGATGGTAGAGGAGGGTAAAGGGGGTCAAATATATGGTGATACAAGGAGAACTGACACTGGGTGGTGAACATTTAATGCAATATATAGATAATGTATTATAGAATTGTACACTTAAAACTATGTAGTTTTATTAACCTTTGTCACCCCAATAGATATTAATTTTAAAAAGAAGCATAAGTATTGGAAAAAAAGAAGCAAAAAATGTCATTATGTGCAAGGAGAGATGATCATCTACATAGAACACCATTAATCAACAAAAAAACTTTGAATTAATGAAGAGTTTAGCAAACTTTCTAAGTATCAGTTAACTTACAAAAATCCAGAACTGCTCCTAAACCACTAAAAACCAGCTAGAAATTTTCACAAGAACATACCAGTCATTATTATAGTGAACAAATTAGAGGTACCAAGGAATTAGCTTAGCAAAAATTACACAAAACCTACAGAGAAAAATTTAAAACTTTCCTAAAAGACATTCAGAAAGATGTGAATAAATGGAGAACATATATAGAGGTAGAGCAAATTACACTGTAAACATATCAATACTCCCAAATTAAGTTAATATATAAATTCAATGTAAGATGAATCAAACTTCCAGGTGTATTTTTTTAAAAAAACTTAAACTTATTTTATGATGTGTATGTGTTTGTGTATCCCTGAAGAGACACATTAAGTTAGAAAACACAACAGGAAATTTATCCCTATTACATTTTAACACATAACAAAAGACCATAGTAATAAAAACCATATACAATTATGAGGAAGCAAAAAATTGAGCAATGGCATGAAAATTCTACCTGTGAGAGCTGGAAATAGTGCTCCTCATTAAAGAAAGAACAAATTTTATAGTAGCTGATGTTAGGAAATCTAGCTCATTATACAATGAAAATTAACACTATATACCAGTCCTACATTATGTACAAAATATGAAATAGAAAATACTAAATATGAAATAGAAAACTATGAAGCTAATAAATATGATTATATTTTTGCAAAAATAGGTGGATGAGGACTTCTTAACTAAGACCCCAAACTCAAATTATTTGGTGAAAAATCGATAGATTTAACAATATTAAATCATTAAGGACTCTGTTCTTTTAATGATATAACAGAAATTTAATAGATAATGCCATATAAGGAGAAGTAATCAAGATCTAGTATGTAAAGAACCTAAGATATAAAGAATTTCTGCAAACATGAACCACCAACCAGAAATCACATGAAGATATAGACAAAAACTTCACAGAAGGGGAACCCTAAATGACTAACAAATATATTAATAATAAATACATGCTCATACTTATTAATCATCAGACAGAAAAGAAAAAAAACAGCAATCAAACCAGCCATTATTTGGTGATGGTGGGAGGGGTTCTGAATCGGTATAAATAGAAACATTTAAAGACATTAACATTAATATAGCCTCATTTGAAACCACTAGTTCATGAAACTGGGTTACAAAAACAAACATTTGTTTTAAAAATGATAATTGCTGCTGCCAAAATGGATGATTAAATATGGAAGTTTAAGTCTTAAATTTGAAGTATACCTAATGACAGCAAAAGTTAACACAGCTTCCAATTACCTGTGTGCAGAGCAGAGTTCATAAAAATCTCCACTTCAGGCTGTCTCAGCTGATGAGTGATTTCAAGTACATTCTCTGACCTACGGAAGTAATGACACTGATGTATCCGTAGATGAATACAACCCAAACACGTCCCCTTATGACCAACACAGTACATTACAATGTA